CTCTCTCTCTCTCTCTCTCTCTCTCTCTCTCTCTCTCTCTAGCTTGATGTTCTTTGGCGCTTTGCAGCCAGCGCTTCATTTTTGGAATCATCCTCGTCCTCATCCGATGAACTACCAGCGTAGTACAACAGCAGAGGGAGCGTTGGAAGCGTCTGGCGGCGTCCGGTAGGCACTGAAATGGCCAAAAAATACCAGGGACATTTTTTTGGGGCGGCCTAGGACCCGAAAAACGTCCTAGGCCCCCCCCCAAAAAAAAATTCAAGTTTTCAAAATTGGGCCCAATCCAGTCCTACCGGACCAGATACCGGACCAGACACCGGACCCATACCCAGACAACCGGACCGTCTGGATTCCGGTCCAGACGTCCGGCCGATCGCCATGATATATCTATATCTATATCTATATATATATGTATGTATATACCATCACCCAGAACTGCCCATACATAGGCAGAGAGGGAGAAGTGGACAACAAAAAGAAAATAAAAATTCAAGGTCCTCGGCAAGGTCACAGGCCGCCACAGCATAAAATCACAAAAGAAATCAAGAAATAAAAAAAATCTGAAAAAAAATAAAAAAATAAAAAATGCTGCATAGAATTGCAAATCACCAATTTCCAGAAAAGTAAATTCAATTATTCAAATTTCAAATTTCAAACCATGGAAAAGCTGGGGAAACTGAGTTTGACAGCCTCCACTACTAAGGGAGGCCACCGTAACTGGATGTAGGAAGGCGTAGAGAAGGGGAGGCGTGGTGTGTATATACCATACAGTATATACGGAGCTTATAGGAACAAAGAAAGCCTGTGGGGAAAATGGGAATGGGATATTGGGAGGTGAAGTGGGGGGGATGAAGGAATTTGGGAATAAAAGAAATGAAGGAACAAAGGCTGTGAGGTGTACTGCATAGGATTGTGAGATAGAAATAAATAAATAGACGGAAAACAAAAAAAGATCGCGAGATATGGGTTCCGGGCGACAGGGGCTTTGAAATATGCGGGCAGTGAGATTAGTAGATTACCGGCAACGTCGGGAACGCCACCTCCCCCTCCCCCTCCCCCTCCCTCTCCCCCACGCCCCGCCCTTCTTCGGACCCCGCTGCTGCGTGACTGGGTGCTGCTACTAAGCTTCCCGGGTAGCAGGAGAGCCCCTGAAAGAAAGGCCATGGCTTGGGGGGTGGGACGCTCCCTGGCAACCTCTCCCTTGTAGGCGCAAGTACCGCAAGGGTAATGCTGTTTCTTCTTCTCTTTGAAAAAAAGGGAATTTCTTTTTTTTCAAAAAGGGAATTGCAAATCACATGACTTTTGACTAAGGGTCACTCCGAAATTCCTGTGGAGAGCGGACTCTTGTTGGAGATAAAAGAGCAATCCCTCAAAAAAAAGAAAAAAGAAAAAAAAAAAGAGCAATCCTCCAAGAGCGGACAGCCCCAATGTGAAGGCACCAATTCCAATCTATTGATGGGGAGCTGCACGTGCTGGAAATGGGGTCCAGCGTCCCATCCAATGAGAAAGGAGAATGATTATGCAATGGAGTACAGCATTGATTGCCCTCTTGTGAGGGGTAAACTGTCACATTGAAATAGAAAATAGAGCAAGAAAATTACATTATGGAACACCCCTTTTTAAGGCCCTTTAGACCCCCTCAAATCCCCTTAAGAGAAGTTAAGACCCCTTAAAACCCCTTAAACTCCTTAAGCCCCCTTAAGAACCCCTTAAGAACCCCTTAAGAACCCCTTAAGACCTACATTACCAGACTGGCCCCGGAAGACTTGGACGGCGGGGGCAAAAATGAATTAGAAATAAATAAATAAAATCACCTTTTAATACTTTTATTAAATTTATTTTTTGTTTGGCAAAGAATGTCTATGTGACCCTGAGGCAAACGTTGTTCAGTTTATTTTTCTGCACAACCCCATTGTTTTTTTTTTTTTTTTTTACAGGAACCTTCCCTGGCCCTTGCCCGGCTGGGCCGCCTGGGCAACCAAGGTGACCCAGGTAGCCCAGTTGGTAATGCACCTTAAACCCCCTTAACCCCCCTTAACCCCCCATAACCCCCCTTTAAACCCCTTTAGACCCCTTTAGACCCCCTTAAACACTCCAGACCCCCTCAGGGAGACATCTCCAAGACTGGATTTGAGGACACTCAGTGGGTGCAGCAATGTCCCACCATCAGTTTTTTGACACAAAAACAATTACCTCATTTTTTGGCTTCCCTGGGTGACCCCGGTAGGCGGGTCCGCGCTGCCTGAGCCCAGGCACCCGGGCCGTTGTGACTCTGGTAGCATAAGTAAAACTGCTAAGAATAAAAACTACGACCGAATAGGTACAATTTTCTATAGACACTACACTATAGTCGGCTCCTGAGCTCCAGGTCTGGTCTCAGCTATAGTCGGCTCCTGAGCTCCCAGTGTGGTCTCAGCTGACCGGAAATTATCTTCATTCTAAGTTGATTCTCTGAAGAGTTTGCCTTGTGCATTGCTCGCAGAATGACACGGCGGACAACGTCTTTCTGGATTTTGCCTGTCGATGTTTGGGGAAGGGAATTCCCCTTCTTGGCCACAAAAACTGCTGGAATCTTGAACCTGCATCCGGTTTTTAGAAAGATTCATAGCATCACACGCGCAACCAAGAATTAGATAATCATCATGCCATGACAGTCTGCTTTGATTTTCGTTACAGGTACATTGAGGAGGGGAGGGGGGGGGAGGAGGGGAAGAAGAGAAGAAGAGGTATCAGTTGTGGGGCAGTCGTTGGTGCTTAACTGCAAGCAGGGTTAAGGTGGATTATCACTTGCAGTATGATCTGTTAGGGGACTCTGCAGGCTGTAGAGGGATCGGCGGCTTCCTGATGAGTCAGTGAAGCTGTAGTGATATTTAACTGGGCCGGCCTTCAGTGTGGGCGCGCAGTGTTTGAGGTCACACTTCGGCATGATGCTGCTGGCACAGCAGTAGGGAAGTAGCGTTAGTATAAATGCGAGAGAGAGAGAGAGAGAGAGAGAGAGAGAGAGAGAGAGAGAGAGAGAGAGAGAGAGAGAGAGAGAGAGAGTCGGTGCCCAGG